AGGAAGTGACCGGTAACGGGGTTCTCCGCTTGGTCCCAGCCGCGGTCCCGGCGCTCGGGCGGACGCAGCGGCTCATCCTGCGCACAGCACCGACCCCTTTCCTCACCAAGTTGGGTGGCGTTAAGGATTCACGACACAAGCGATGTTTCGGTGCCAGGGGACAGCAGTGCTGAACACTCCTGGCTTCGTGACTCGGTTTAAGCCCTTCGCAACTCTCAAAGGCCTCAGAAACAACTTATCTGAAGGGTGATTCAGGACATAAAGTAATTCCATCGGGAAAAACAATGGGATCTTGGCTTTGTCATTCACCGTGCAGCTGAAACAGGAGGTGATGTGAACCCCGCAGTGGGAACCCACCCGAGGCCAGTTGAAGCGGACAACCACCGGTGAAGTGCACATGTTCTGTTGCCCATTATCCACCAGTGACCTGCACAGGAACAACCGGGGCTACCTAAAACATGATTTAACTATACTGAGCTTTTTACGCTATTACGTTTCAGCAGACACGGAGTACAGCAAAAACCCAGAAGAGTCAGACAGGTTTCTAGGCATGTTTATTAGACCAGGAGTGGTAATCAAGGAACAGACACCGTTATGTGTTCATTTCTTCAGTGAAAGTTTAGAGCAGCTCATTACATGCAGAGAGTTCATTACTGCCTCCATTCTTTTGGAGTGACTCTGCCCACAGGCGAGAAGCCCCACTCAATACCAAGTTGTGTTAACACCTGTAGGAGGGTAAAAACCAGGATTATTAACTCTGAAATCAAAGAAACCTTCTGATAGAGGATTGTTTCTATTGCTTTCAGTGTAGATTTCTTGTATTAGAACATGACATCTAATAAAGCAAGTGGAACATATTGAGTAATAGTTAAATACTTCAGTTTTCTATTTCAGAGCATCTAGCTTTAAAACAAAACCTGGAATGTAAAACCCCATCACCATACAGTTACTTTTGTCTCCTATTTTTCCTGATAAAAGCTCTAGGTGTAGCTTAGAAATCCCAAGCTAAATGGAGAACACTTGTGTTTCTACTATGGTTTAATATCAAGCAATAGACTGACACAGACATTTGTGAAACAGTTCAAAATCAACATACAAACCAACACAAGTTTCATCTCTATCCCATTACTCTTAAGTTACAGAAAAAGCTCCTAAATTCTGACTTGTTACTCTAAACGAGTAAGCCCTTTTGCGCCTCAATCACATGCAAGTTTAGAGGTGCAGTCACAACAGAGTGGTGAAGAAAGGACACTTACGTATCCCCAGACAGCAGTAAAAACCACGGCTCCACCAATGAGCACCAGGTTTCCGTGTTTATCATGGAAGCTGGGCTCATGTTTGCGATGAGCTTGTCTGACTGCAGCCTGCTGAATGCCACGGGCTAAGGAACGTTGAAGAGAAGAACAGGAATCAACTAAAATATACATCCAAACCGTTCACATTCCTCATCTCCCACCGCCAGAGGCAAGCGGAAGCATTGAAAGACTTTAAGAAAAGCTGAAAAAGAAATTAATCTTTTGGACTTGGAGCTTTGGAATGATTCCAAAACACATGGGATATACAGAAAGCCTTGCCTTGTGTTTCAGCTGTCCCCATTTCTCTCTAGGAAGTTATTTCTGAACCCTCTAAGTTACCTTTTCCATTAATATGCTGTCTTTGGGCCCTCCGTGTGGAAGTTCAAGTACACTTCTAAGAATTACTACATATCTGTATTGTCAACATGTGTACCTGATGTAAGCATTTTCAGGATGAAGCTCACCATCAAAGGGAAGAGTTAAGGATTGTGGATATAACAGACCTTTCCTTCATGATTTTTGAAGGGAGCGGAGGGAGATGAAGAAAGAAGGGGCAATAATGGTGGAACTTAATTAATACATTAAATAACATAATGTTATATATATGTTGTAGTTAATATATAAGTAATATGGTTTAGTAATATAGAACAAAATACAGGAGGATATCTGCAGGTGACGGAAGGTAGGATGTACATTATAACTGTACACTATAAAAGGTACATTAATTAAGGAGAAAACAGAGGGAAGAATCAAACCACCAGCTTCAACAGACAGAGACTGCTCAGCGGCTGTGTGCTGCATCCGATGGGACTGTGCTCTGTGCATAAAGATGCATTCCAAAAGACAATCTTTCGTTTCAGGTCAATGGCTCACATTTACCCAACACGACTAGATAAGATGATGGCAATGCCCACCCTGCTGCAGCACCCGTAGCGTGCTCTGGGAGGCTGAACAAGGCACGTTTTTTAAACAGAAAAGAAGCTTGACTATCTAGCAAGAGAAACGCTGCTAAGGAGGTTTATTTTAGGTGGGAACTAAGCACATCATGAACCAGAAACGGGTTTGGGTTAAGCACTGGAGAGTCTGTCCCTGAAGAAGTGACTTTACCCTTGAGTTTAAGGGCCGGTCCCTGACTACACCCTGCCACCTCAGGTTATCAGACCTCGGTGTGCCTTTAGCATGAAGGAGGTAAAGCATCGAGGAAGGCAACCCAAGGTCAGCTCAAGTAAAAGCAATCAGGGGATAAAAGAGGCAGAAAGAA